TACACAACTTTCCAGGTTGCAAAAGTAATGATGCATAGCAGCAATGGACCGGAACCACCAAACGCAGCCTGTTTCCTGGACCATCGTGATTGTCTCCATATGACGAACGCTGATGTTTGGCCTGCTCGCTGTTGACAACCGGAGTGGCATCATTGTCGTCGGCTGGCTGCAGCATTGCGCCCACATTCCCTACGACCTCTATACCGTCTTCATAAACGTCGCTAATAGCTTCAGTGATTTTTTATATCTGCTTTAATGACCTAACACGCTTTGGGAGCTTCGGGTCCGAATGTTTTGCAGCGTTTGGTCTGGTCAGAAACAGTTGGAGGAATGAACTTGCACGGTCGGAACATTATTTATTCTTAACTTTCAGGACCATTACATTTTTTTATTCCGAATTCGGAATATATTCCGCAAAAAAATAACGCTGCTCATGAGCCTGCAACCTAGTTGCCGGCCCTCTCAGCAGCCGAGCTAGCTAGCAAAGTCATTATTTTGTTTGCTCTCATACCATAGAAAGTTCCCGTTTTTTATCATTTTGCTGCTTTCTTCCTGTGTCATCATGAGCTGTCCATTATGCTGGTCTTCGTCTTTTCGTCTTTTTGTTTGTCTATTTTATTTCTTTGTTTTTGTTTTAAGATTATATTTAGGAAGAAGTCATTACATTAACATTTAGTTATAGAGTAATGTTTTGTTAACATCTCAAAAGTATATTAGCTGCTTGGAAATTTATTTTAAATAGACTAATTAAGTTTGCTCCAATCCTTCCCTATGGCATAAAACAAGGGGTAACCCCCCCATAAAACAAGGCATAACCCAGGGTGTAGGGGTAGGGGTTACCCATGTGGCTATGTATGGAGGTGGGTAACCTAACCCCGGGGTAGGGGTAACCCCTTACCGAGGGGTAACAAAGGGGTCAGGGTAATACACTACTGATGGGTAACAGACCCATGTTTACATTCACCTGCGCCTGTGTCGCCTGTTTACACTCACAAACGCACATGTCTTCACCAATCACTTGTGAAGGCCCAATTATCGACATTGCCGCACCAAAGCATGCCTTGTTCAGAAACCTAAACCTAAGGATAAGGCACACAGCTGCAGCCTAGATGCAAGGAGGCAGACGAACAGGTGTACATATGCAGAGCAAATTGGGAACCACGAGAAGCCACCAGTGAAGCCAATAAATATCCCTATCAAAGTGTAGCAGCCGGTACACAGTACGGTGCTATAAATACATGCAGAGCGCGACCGCCAGCAACTCAGAGACCTTTTCAGCGGTCAGCTGCTACATTTGGTATCGAGACCTCGTGAAAATTCACGATCCTGAAGTCGTCGGTTCAACCCCCACCGATCACGTTTGAGTGGTATTTCGGGTGTGGCGACTCAGTGAGCGAATATCGCACAAAAACTATAAAAAAAAGTAGCTGAACCGACTGGACTGTCTCTGTGCCTGAAAAACCTGAAGGCTAGGCGCATGTGAATTGGTCACCTCTGAAGGCTAGGCGCATGGGCTTGGTCACCCCACTGCCCGAGGGTAGGAGAAGGTAGGCACAGGCTGGCGGTATACGAGGCTCTAAAGGGCCCGGGACGGTTCCCTTCAAAGGGGGGGGAATGTAGCAGCCGGTACACAGTATGGTGCTATAAATACACGCAGAGCTATAAATATGCGCAGAGCGCGACCGCCAGCAACTCGAGAGACCTTTTCAGCGGTCAGCTGCTACACAAAGGATCCAAAATATTCCTATCAAAAGATCCATGCACCTACCGCCACTCCGGACCTAAGACTCATGGACCAGTTCATGACCTAAGACTCATTGATCAGCCAACAGGCAGCAATGTAAGGTCGGCCAGTAGCTTAAGTGCCCCATCCCGACCTGCTAATTCCAGCTCTATGCACGACCTATGCAACATCCAGAGTCCGCTCGTTTTCAGAGCAGGCTCTTAGGAGAGCCTCTCCTAAGAGTGTCTAGGGTCTTGGGTGGGAGATCACGGATGTTTGATCCCGAATATGGCCACACCCGGCAAAGTGTAAG